ATTGATCTAGTCTTTCGTTAGTTGCCTGTGGCCCTCTAAAATGTGAAGTTGTGTTCACACCAATCAACATATGACATAAAGCAAAGAGAAGTAGAATTGTCAATTACTTTGTCACAGTTCAAGTTCAGATAGATGAAAAGGGTATACCATTGATCATTAGTTGAGCATAGTCTTGATAATAATTGGCTAACCACAAAAGTTTTGTAGGAACAACCCTTTTTGCTAGGTCATTGGATAGTGAAATAGGTACAATTGAGGTAAAGAAGTAAGACTTTCACAATGATTACAATGAGATTGATATGAAAGCCCAAGGTTTAACAAGTAAGAATTTAAGTGATGATGATGGAAAGTACAGTGCCTGCCACTGAAAGCCTGTAACACGCTTCCCTGCAAATAAATTTTGACATTTCAGATCTTATGTTTGTTGTCTACATATATATAGAAACAAATTTCATTGACATAGGTGTATTGGGCCATTGTGGCAGAATCTAGGCATGTAAGGATTAAGCCATAGCATAATTTTTTTTTGCCTTGCCCCTTGGGATGGGACCACAAGTTACATATGACCTTACGTACATATTTAAGTACTTAATGTATGTAGTTAAGTACTTAGGATATGTAATTAGGTACATAGTATCTAACAGTACTAAAATGGCTCAGGAATACTTATCAATCCTCCTCACAGCATTTCCTTGCAGCATTTGCTGGAATCCGGTGATGAGACTTATACTTTTTCACCAGTTTTTGCACATCACTGCAAGTGTATCCCAGTCTACAGAGATTCCCCCAGATCAATATACAATGAGAGAGTGACAATCAAAGAAAAAGGTAGCTTACTCATATGCAGAGTGAGTCCTATCAATCTTTCTGAAGAACTTCCGTATTGTTATCATGGAGCAATTCTTCCGAATTTCCTCAAATCATTCCTTTGATTGTGCAAATGGTGTGCATTTGAAATTACCTTGACAAAATTCTGTACAGATCTAAGAGCTGGATTAATATAAATGGCAGAATCAGATGATAAGTTGGAATTTACCTTGTTTAATATAACCCCAATACAGCTCAATGGGGTTCAGCTCACAGTGAAATTTGGGAAGGAATAAACAAATGTGACCAGCTTCTTCAATCACCTTCTGAATCAGACATTTTTCTTTTAAGAAGTCGGACTGTAAGCTGAGAATCCTGAATGCACAACAGCTTGAAGATCTGAAATGTTGTTTAGTTCTTGTATGAGATTCTTTGTCTTCATCAATGAAATAACCCTGAGCTTCAGCCTCTCGTATCAATTGTTCAGATCTGATCTCTTGATCTATGGCAAACAGCTGACTTTTTACAATCTTTGCATTTTCCTAAAAGGGGGCCATTACCATTCTGGAGGGACCGCAAGCTGTAGAAGTCCCACAATCCACGCTCTTGAAGTACAGCTTTGATACCTTTTGATTGACTTGCGAGATTTTTATCCGGATGATCAGAAGGATAGACCATTGATTGTGGTAAGCCTCATTGCTCAGCCGGGATGTTTGGATCATTGGTTGGAATTATGGTACACAAAGAATATTTTTCTTACCACCAGGATTGAGATTCATATTCTGAACACGTAGAGCTGAAGGTCTGTATGCCTGATGTGCTGAAGAGCAGTCAAATATAAAGACACCTTGTGCTTTTGGGTGCAAGCGATTGAAAATTGGAATTGCTCGTTCTTGAAGTTGAGTTTTCAACTGAGTCATATCCCACCAAGGATCACCCTTGGTCCCTGGGTAGATGACAACTGCCGCATCACAAGGTATACTGTGTGTTTCAGATTCAGGTAAAACAAGCCGTCCCGTAGTTTCAAGAATGAAGTCCGAGATGTGGATCAAGCGGCCTGCACTCTTGGATCTCAAGTCGGGTGTGTCAGGCAAGAGCCAGGCATGTTTGGGTCGTTCATTTGCATGAACTGTAGATTCATCATGATACACAAATATTGTTTCGGTTGTACCTGTTTCAGGTGAACGACTGTGCTCCAGATTGTCGCCGGAAAACTCAGAAGATCGAGCTCGCAGTTCAGCAACATCAGCAAGATACTTCTTGCGGTATTTTACAACATCAGGACGTCCATGACCATCAAAATAGATTGATTTCTTGAACTCCTGAGGTCGGAGATTCATTCTGACATCCATCGATAAGTT